CCGACGACGTAGAGAGAGAGAGAGAGAGAGAGAGAGAGAGAGAGAGAGAGATTACAAAATGTCTTCCTGTTTGGTCTAGGATGCCAGCTGCTGCTGATGCATAATTGAGACCCTTGAGTATGGCAGGGCCTTTTGACAGAGGGCTTAAGTATGCGGGTATAAGGGGTAGCCCTAATAATTTGGCTGCAAAAAAAACAAGAAAACCTTCTACACTTCCATATTATAACTACAAAGCTACAAAGCTATAATATTCTATTTGTTTAGAAAAGCCCTCAAGCTGTAGTTTCAGGATGGAAAAGCCTTGTAGTTTGAAAATCTATTGCAACCTTTGATTATGAAATTTAAAGTTATTAAAATGGTGATGATAAAGCAGATTTATAAAAACTTAAAAGTCTTGAGAGCGGACGGCAAGATAAAGTGTTAGAAATTTTATTTTTAAAACTTGAAATTTTTTTTTTTTATATTAATAAATTTCTAAGGCTGAGACCAATTGGAGGTCCCAGTAGGTTTTTTTAGATGCACCTCACTCAAAACCCTAGACCCAGGTTTGCACCTTATATAATTTTTTTCCTGCACAAATAAGGGAAACAATGTGCAATGCCGCCCGTCCCAGTCCCGCCACCACTAAAACAACAAGGCTTGGGCCTCAAAATAGGGCAAGCTTTCTATGCTTCCCTGAGTTCTATCCTCCCTTTTATCCAACCGTCCATTATGGATGGAGGGTTAAGATTGCCCTAATTACAATGTCATGTCCCTACACTATTTTGACACCAAATTTTGGATGTTCATTTCTCTATTAAATTCACACTAACGAAAAATATAAAAACAATATTTTCAATAAAATAAAATGACTAAAATATCATTGAAAGTTTTAAGGGGTATTTTGATCGGTATATTTAATCGAAAAATTATTTTAATATTTTTAGGTCGAGTCCAATGGGGTACGATAACTTTGGGGACAAACCAATGGGATACGATAACTTCGGGTCGTTTGTCCGACCCGACCTGTTGCCCCCCTTGACAAGTCTCTAAAATCTCTCCCCCATGCTGGGCCACTTTTGTTTGTCATCCAATAAACGGACAGTTATATTGTCCACCCTTCGCCATTTGCGGGTTTCAGGGCCATTAATTTCTGCACAAATTTGGGACATACATTGTCTGAACCTCTGAGGCGAGGTGAAGAAATTCATGAAAAAAAGTATAAAAACCAAGAAAACACCTTTTTTTGACATAGAAAAGGCAGTGGAACATCCATTTTAATGAAAAAAAGAGAGTTAAAATTGAAACCAAAATTTTATAATGCCTCATAGTCATAATCATAACCATGTGAATAATTTGAAATTTTTTTTTTTTTTGAGATTTTGAAAGGCTTGACCGCCCATGAAATGGATAACATGCAATGATCAAGTTAAATATAGCAATTTTTGGAAATTAATATCGATGGGCATCGCCAAATTTGGAGCTGAAGAAATTTGGAACAAATGTGCCTCTGAAGAAAAGAAAAATCCAATTCTAGCAGAAGAAGCTACCTCCATAATCGACCACGGTGAGGCCGTTAGTGAATCGGCCGTTCGGGTACCCAAAGTCGACGCCATACGGCGCATAGTCCGCCCTTGCGACCGTAGGAATGTGATTGTTGTTGCCGTCGTCGACAAGAGAGTCACCGAAAATGAACATGGCCGGGGAGAGGGCATCTCCCTCCACTTCCATGAAGTGAGAAGGTAAGCCAAGAAGCAGACCAAAGAGGAAGCACACCAGTCTATTCATTCTACTTACCTTTCTCTCTATATGCTCAACAGGCAAACATACGTCTCTCTCTCTAAATACAAGGCCTAACTATCTTTCTCATTCCAAGCTCTTGGGTGATATTATCTTTAGAAATCAAGAAAGCAAAGCGCCTTGATGGGCTTCATGCTCCTTGATCTTTCTCTCTAAGCTGAATTGGCAGCAAGAGAACAACCCAAAAAGAGAAACTCCACTCCCTCTCTGATCCTCACTCAGTCAGAGACTCTCAAAAGCATAGGATCAGGTGTCCAGTGTGTGCCATAAATAGTGAACAAGGCGTGTTAACGTGCCCTCTGGCAAGGTGGTTGCAGGGGATTAACTTTTTCACCAAGGTATGGCTCATACTGTATAAGCCCTATCCCTCTATTGTGTACTCATTTACGGCCGTTTCTACAAATTACAAGAAGCCTCCGTACCTTTGTTAGAATGACAGAGAGCAAGGGTTGGCAATTTGTCGGTCAGGGACCCGAAAAAATGATAGGGACCAGACCCGAATTCACTGGACTTGGACTTTAAAATATGGTGTAGGACCCGGACTTGGACATGGGTCTGATTGGATCCCACCCAAAAATTAAAACGTATATGTATTTAATATATTTAAATATATTTCATATATCGAAATCTGAAAAATATTACCCGACCCAAACCCAGACCCAGACCCAGACCCATACCCATACCTGAATAGTATTTAGGTCTAAAATTTTAACCCAGAGCTACACATTAAGTCCAATTTTTGAACCATGGACCAGGATCGGGTCTACCCCTTGGGTCCCCGGTATGGATCGAGTCGATTGCCACAATTGCCACCCCATATAGAGAATTAATCTCAACTCGGTCTCCTCTTCTCTCTCTCATTCATCATGGGAGTGGGTTTTGCTGGTGGGTTTCTCTCTCAGAGATCGGTCTATGAGTGTGGGAATTGCTGGTGACATTAGAGGCAGCAAGATTAAAAAATGGCCTTTTAGGTTTGATTCACTAAAAAAAATAAAACATTAAAAAAAGGAGGAGAGAGAAGGCCTTGTGGCCGTTATGTGATATATCAGTAGTTATATTAGTAAGGAAAATTGTCTCATGCGGGCTGGATCGCATTTCTACACATTCGGTCCATAGGTATAAGGCATCCAACTTCTTAAAGATGGATGCAAATAAGTGGTCCATCAAAATAATTGATACTAACACTCCAAATATTTTTTTAATAAAATTATTATTTTTAATTTTTAAAATTTATTTATTTATTCATATTCGTGATCTCCATGTTAGAGGTCACATGTCCTTAAAAATTAAATCCAAAATTTCATCTCATAAATAGATTTTTAAGAGGCGCCTCATTTCTCAAGACTCATAGAAACCGATTCCTATTAGTAATGGATCCAAATTTTTAGTGAAATCTTTAGCATGGAAGTAACCGGGCTGGAAGTACAAAACAATCATGCAAAAAAGAAAAAAAGTTAATACAAGGTGCCCCTTACATTTTAGGGGTAAGGTACCCTTAGGAAATGGTTTCGTTTTCGGAAAACCCTCTTATTAATTGTCTCAACCTCGACATTATGAATATGAAAGAAAAAATGAATTTTGAGTTTTAAAATTTTTTTTTCTTGTAACAACTTATCTACACGGTCTATTTTCCAGATTTTTGAGTGCCTATAAAGTTGCTAATTCTGTATTATTTTTTGAGCTTTAAATTTTTAATAAGGGTGAAAAATAAATTTTTACGCTATCAAAAGTATATATTGTAAAGTTGCAACCTTATACAAACAACATGTTTTCTATTATCTAGGGTAAATATCATTTCTATTACATTCTAATTTTAATGATTTACATTTTTATTTTTGCATTAGTGATTAATGGATAAAGGTTATTTTTTGCAGTGTGGGGTTTTATAAAGTGTTAACCTTGAACCACTATGGTCAAGTTTTGGAGCTGAAACTCTGGCCTAAGAATCTATTTTTCGTACTTATTATGAAACTTCAAGCTCTAAAAATAGATGTGGTTTGCATAAGCTTAAACTTTATTTGTAGAAGTAAGATATGATGCTCTACACCATTTATTTTATTTGATAAACGTAAATTGGATACGCCTTTTAAAACAGTGATAAAAGATGACGTATTTTTTAAGATAGCGTCAAATCTACACTGTCTAAATAAAATTAAATGTATATTACTACAACATTACTTCTAAAAATAAAATTGCAACCTTATATAAACTTTTTCAATAACATCATTTAATTTCAAAAGCTCAAAAATAGTTGCCATTATTCTTAAAAATCTATTTTAAAAAACTATGTTCAAAATTATCCCAAGATTCCCCAATTTTCCCACTATTTTCTATTTTTATGTTATTTTTCCCATTTTTTATGTTTTTCAATCAGTTTTCTCCTAATAGTATTAAAATAATGTAAAGGAACGACATAGATTTGGCACATTTATATTTTGTTTTTGATTGATGACATTAATTTCATTGAACACAAATCTTCCACAGTTTAACATCAATTAAAAAAAGGACGTGCAATTTAACGGGCTCTAATTGGGGGATTTTTGGATATCACAATGTAACATGGTTCCCATCTTAACATTAAAAAAAAGTTAAAAAAAAAAAATTGATGTACATCTTTGGATCTTCTGAAGGTGTAGCAACGGTCGGGTCCGACCAGACCTGGAATGAAAAAATATGGGACCTAGACCCGATTGGACCAGATTGGAACAAGATCCGACCCAAAAATAAAAGCATATATACATATATTAAATATAAATATATATAAATACTATGTCAAATATATTCATGTATTATTTACATATTCTAACTAAAAAATATATAGTTATATTTAATTAATATTATTAAAATATTATATACAAGGACTTGAATAGTGTTTGAGTCCAATATTTGGACTTGAACCCGACTCGCCAAGTCCAATTCTTGCACCCCTACTAGGACTCGACGCACCAAGTCCAATTCTTGGACCCATACCCGAACCTATGTCGGGTTTGGATGTTGGGTCCAGGGTCGGGTCCATTGCTACCCCGAATGAAATTATCCTATAAACGCTATACAATAGTTAGGGCTGGGAAAGGGGTGGACAATGTGGGTCTAGGTCTCGGTATTATTGTTTAACCTAGTGGTAGGGTATGGTTCGGAACAAATTATGAATTGGGTCGGGTCAAGGTTCAAGTCAACCTGGACTTAACCCAAGTTATATATATAATTATATAAGGTTGCAACCTTAAACAATCCAATTAAGGCGCACTTCTAAGTTTTATCATAACATGTATTTTTGACATAAAAAATTCTTAGGTTTATTTGAAAATCTATTTTAATGTATAATTATTAAATTTTAGAGTCTAAAAATAGTTAAAATCAAGTGGATCTATAAACATAAGAAAATCTTGAAAGTGGAAGGTCGAGATAATGTATTGCAAGTTGCACTAGTTTTGGGACTCAAAATTTTTTTTTTCTACATATTCATACATCTCGATATTGAGATGACCAACTAGAGGGTTTTTCAACATTAAAACAACATTTTCTAATGGATTTTTGAGGTGCATGTGTGATTCTACATTTTAAGGTTGGAACCTTATATAAACGTTTTTTTTCTCTCTCTTTCTATATGTGTGTGTGTGAGGCTAAGACTTTATGGATAGTAGTAAATCCTCGCGACAAAACTCAGTAAAAATTATGGTTCCGATCTAAAAAAACCTCCATATCTATTATCTCGACCTTAATTATTATGGTTGTGAAAAAAATTAGGACTTTAAGCCCTAAAAGTAGTAGATAATAGTAAATCCTCCTGACAAAACTCACTAAAAGTTATGGTTCCGGTCTTAAAAAACCTCCATATCGATCATCTCAATATTGATTATTATGGTTGAGAAAAAAATTAGGACTTCAAGCTCTAAAAATATTGTATATTATAACACATTATCTAGACAGTTCATTTTCAAATGCTCATAGATCTATAGGACTTGTACTATTTTTCGAACTAAAAATTTCAGAATTGATGGTCAAATTAGAGTCATCTTAGGGATTTTTTTTTCATGCCCAACTTATTTTTGGGACAAGATTTTGAGGTGAGGCTATACTTTTTTTTTTTCCATAAGGCAAAATTTTATACAAATTAATAAAATTACATTTAACTTAATTTCACCAAAAGCTTCACAAAAATTCTGCTTAAATTTAATTATTTAGTATTGATTATGTCTAATATTTTCAAGATAAAAATAAATTGATGTAACTAAGAAATTAAAATTTTAAAATCAAACATGTTAGCTTTGTGGATAATAATTGGATTGGACCTAGGTTGGGTCTGGGTCCCTGTACTCTACATTGGGTCTATGTCTAGGTAGATCGGTCGGGTATGGGTTTGGGTCCACTCTATATAAAGTTGGGTCGGGTCTAGGTCAAGCACAACCCAGACTCGGACCTGATCCGACCCATTCCTACCATAAAATGAAAAAGCTTTCAGCCTTATTCAAACCAACTCCCAAGGTAATACTAGCCAAAAAAAAATAAAGGAAAAAAAGAAAAAAGAAAAAGAAAAGAAACAATAACTTGATCTTGTTGTCCACAAATTGATCGTCTTAGTGCTGGACATTATATACTGACTACACTAAAAAATGATAGAAATTGGTCCTCACTCTCACACTAACCCCTAAGGTAACATTCTAAAAATAAATAAAAAATAAAAAATAAATAATGCACAAAATGATCCTATTAGAAGTTGAACGATAGAATGTTGGTGTGATTTTAATGCCTCTCAAGAAATATATTTCATCCTAAGGGCCGTTTGGATACTTGGAAATATATTGTCTGTGAAATATATTATTAGCGTAATACATTACCTGCAAATGGATTGTCACCGTTTGGGTAGTATTTAGATGCAACCTGATAAATACATTGTTAGTGTTTGGCTATATCCGGAAGAAATATGGGAATTGCATTATCAACATTTTTTTTTTTTTTTGGCGTTATACCCAAAACATGGTTGAATGTACAATCCCTATTAGTATGTCGCTTAAACTTTATCTCTATTAGTATGTAGTTTAATCTTTATAATTGCATCAGGCAGAAGAATTAGCTACACGTTTTGAATGCCTTTGCGTCTTGACTTGGAATCATATGTTTTCAAGATGTTAACACTTTGGAATAACATACTCTTATTAGGATAAGCCATCATATTTTTTACATTTTTTTTCTTGTGCTAAAGCCTTTCGATTATCTCTCACCAGAAAATTTCCATGGGCAAATTCA